GACGAATTTTTATGAGTATAAAATTATAATCTGCATTTGTTTGTTTAAAGGTTCTAGAAAATTTGTTAATAAGAATTATTGTTAAGGATTTTAATAAGGAAATGCTTTAAATAAATGTTTCATTGCGTCAGTAAGCTTTTTATTCTAGATACAACTCAAAATGCGTGCTTAAACAATGGACACAGCACGAAATAATTTTTTTTCAAAACTGACATAGCTCAAATTGCGTGTTTAAAAAATGGACATAGCTCAAATTGCTTGTTTAAGAAATGGACGAAGCTAAATATTAGTGTTTAAAAATGGACGCAGGTCAAAATGTGTGTTTAAAAAATGGACACAGGTCAAAATGTGTGTTTAAAAAATCGACAGCTTGAAATGAGTGTTTGAAGAATGAAAAGCTCAAAATACATGTTCAAAAATGGATACATCACATTTTTTTATGTTCAACTCAAGTTTAATAACTGAACGAGGAATTATCCACTTATTTTTTATTACTTTTTTAAACACTGAAAACAATGCGTTGAACATAGTTATTACTGCTCAAAGTCCCGAACTTGGGGGTCGGGTGGCTAATTATATCACAAATGTAATATCTCTCGTTATTCACGACTCTAATCGATAGAATGGTTTTTGAAATCTAAATTCTAACAACGTAAATTTAAAACCACTATATATCAAACACCTCTATACCCACTATATAACCAATTTATAGTATTCGTGACAACCTTGTAAAAATAGCTGTTGACGTATAAAACCTAATTTTTTTTTAAAAAAAAAGACTAATTTTAAAAACTGTATTAAATTAGTGATTTAACAAAAGGGACATTATATTACTAATTTATTTCGATGCATTAGATTTTTCATTAGAAAAATAATTTTAATTATAGAAGTTTGAAAAATGGCCACAGTTCGAAATCGAAACAAATGTCTGTTTTCTTAAACAGCTACGTATGTTCATTTTTTATGCTCCCATTTTGAGCAGAGTCCAAACACGCACCTTGAATTGCATCCATTTTAGTAAACAAGTATTTTGAGCCGAGTCCAAAATAAAAAGCACGTCGAAGATTGGTTAGTTTTGTTCTACACTGATAAATTTTTCATATAAGTATTAAAAAAATACAGAAGATAAGCAACAAACTGGAAAACCAATGACATTATAATTTTAATATTTTAGTTCATAAAATAACAAGGAAATTTCTAGCATTCTATTACTTGCGTATGATTTTATATAAAGAAAATTATTTTCAAAGTTTATTATTATTAAAAATTAGAACTTTTCCGACGCTATATTATGTATACGTTACTTTTATAAATTAACTAGCATTTTGTAAAAATTGTATAAACATTTCTTTTATGAAATTGTAATGAATATTAAGATATTTTAACTAATCTTGTTTCAGCTAAATAAGGATTGGTTAAGGTAGTTTCATTAACAAGACAATTCAAATCCATTTTAATTAGTAATTATAAAGCCGCATGACATACGATAAATTTGATTTTATTCGAGAAGAAAACATGTTTACCTTAATTAAAATATTTTCAATTTCCATTTTAGTTACATTTGTTGTTGGAATTATCAACTTACGAATGTCTAAAAATAGCTAAAAAGCAAAAAAAAATTTATTTTTTTTTGCTGTAGTTTGAGTCACGTTTTTCCTCATTAACCTAATTTCCATGCTTTTTATTCTTTTCCAAGCATTTCATTCTTTTCTTATAGGTTTCAATAGAATGTTTATTGTATAGAAAAATATGTTTTACCTTACTCTTTGAAAAAATAAAACTGAGTTACTTGTCTATTATATCATTCTTTATAAAAAGAAACTAGTTTATTTTCGCTTTTAAAAAATTTAATAAAACAAAGGGATTCGATATTATTTAAATATTTGCATTATCTGTAATATTTACATTACATAATGTTTACATTATCTGTAATATTTGCATTACATAATGTTTACATTTTCTGTAATATTTACATTACATAATGTTTACATTATCTGTAATATTTACATTAAATAATGTTTACATTATCTGTAATATTTACATTACATAATATTTACATTATCTGAAATCATTAATCTTTGGTTGAATGTGAAGAGATTTGTGGAGCTTTCTTTAAAATTGTTACAATATAGTAGAATGTGAATTATTGTTGGAATATTTTCTTTGAAATTAGTGCATTTTAATAAAATATAACACATGGGGATGATATCTCTGAAGTTATTGCATTTTTAAAAGAACGTAGCACAGTATTGGAGTTATTTATTTGAAATTATTGCTTTTTAATAGAACTTAAAACATTATTTGGGTTATTTCTTCGAAATTATCGCTTTTAATAGAAAGTAAAACATTATAGGGGTGATTTCTTTGAAATTTTTATTTTTCGTTGGAGTTCGAAATATTTTGGTCTTCTTTCTAAGCTTATTACATTTCGAAAGCATTTTAGAGTATTTTCTTTGACACTATCTGCCTGTTTAATCAGCTTGGTCACCTTTCAAAATTATCTTCTGCAACTTTAACGGTAACCATACCGAATGCACAGAATTTAAATATTTTTATTTCCCAAACTCTCCCAATCTTAACACCTTAATTACTTATAACAATCTATTAACAAAAAAATTTTTCAGCGTCTAGCTGTTGTTGCCTACTTGAAAGTACTTTGATTTCAATTTTATCTATTTCCAAGAGACATTGTCCGCAATATTGTCAACGCTCTTTACGTATTGAATTAATTTTAGTAATAAATTAAAATTTATCCAGCTGTCATTAAAGCACATAAACCTCCTTATGTAGGAGTTCGGGATATTTCAGCACAGTAGGCAACAATTATTTCCATCTCTGTCAGTCACTAATAGTTGTTATATTAGGTATGACTGTATGATGCAGCACCATAACGTTTACCATATGGTATACAATAAAGTGTACGTTCAAACTTTTTACAGCCATTTTAGAATTGATCGAAATTAGGTCTAAACTATTGCTTCGTAACTAAGTTTTATTTCTATAAAAATGCTAAATTATTCTAAATAAATACTCGACGTATAATTAACTATTCAACACTACTTAAATTATTAGTTAAGGCAACCAAACAAAATGAATAACTAAAGTGTTTCTAATACATAGAGAAAACCAGAGTTTATGGTGCCACATGAGAGAAATATCCATATAAATTATTACAGTGTGGCGAAATAGAAATCATTGTCGGGTTCTTTTAACTTAAACAATTACATTTTGATTTAATCGGGAGGAACTAGGTTTTTTTAGACATTCTTACACTTTGGTAAAACATATAGCATTTTGTTGTGTTTTCTTTGAAATTATTATATTGTGGTACAACATTATTTAGATGGTTCCTTTGAAATATTTCAGTATGGGAGCAAAGTTTATCTTACTCATAAGTTGATAAAAAAATGGAAAAAGTTATAAAGTATAAACGTATGTAGTAAAGTATCACACTGCAAAAAATAAAAAAATTTCTACTACTCTAAGCCATTTATTATGACAAATCATTTATATCAGCAGACCGAAATTAAAAAATTCGTATACATTCCTTATTTAATCCGTTGTGACAACAGTTGAATACTTTAAATTCCACTAGTCCCTGAATTAATGGTGAATTTGGTTATTGATTTAAAGTGAGTAAAATCCATCATTACCAACAAAACGGCACTAATGTCGCTCGGGGCCGAAAGCAAGATATAAAAGAGGAAAATAGCTCGCAGTAAGGCTCTCTTAATGCCTGTAAGAATTATCTTTCTTAAAATACCACTTAAATGTTTAGAAATGTGACATTTTCGTAAATATGTATTTTCTTTAAAAGGAATTAATGGGTAATGGTTGTCCCGAATGCATAAATAATATTACTTTTGTTTCATTTTCATCGCCACTTTTCAAAATTTGTAAGACCCGTCGAAATGACAATTATTATGTATTGATCACGTGTTATCGTAGTCTTGCCCTGGAGATACAGAGGTACTGAATTTGATCATACCAGATTGAAGAAAATGTAACTATGTATTGATGTTTGTATACCTTCTAGAAGTTTTTAGAACCTTCCATTTCTTGTTCCTTATTTAGTTCCAAGTAAGCTCATACATTTCAGGAAGAATTTACAGTTACCCAGTTTTTCAGAAGTGTTTAATAAATCAGTAAGATTAGCCATCTTGATTCTGTTTCTTTATTCGGGAGATATGACTTGAATTTACGAGACATGTGGTTGTTTCTTTTATTTACTTTTATTTACTTATTTCTATTCACTTATTTTAAACTTTTATTTACTTATTTTTACTTACTTTTATTAACTTAGTTTCACTAACTTAGTTTCACTAACTTAGTTTCACTAACTTAGTTTCACTAATTTAGTTTTACTAACTTAGTTTTACTAACTTAGTTTTACTAACTTAGTTTTATTGACTTAGTTTTATTGACTTAGTTTTATTAACTTAGTTTTATTAACTTAGTTTTATTGACTTAGTTTTATTGTCTTAGTTTTATTGTCTTAGTTTTATTAACTTATTTTTATTAACTTATTTTTATTTAATTTACTTAATTTTTTTAACTTATTTTCATTTACTTATTTTTTTTTTATTTAGACTCAAGTTTTTGCTTCGATACCCCCTGAACCCTTTCAAATGTGCCATTATACTGATAAATACACGAAATGTTGAATCTTTTTTATTTAATTAACCAATAAGCATTGGATTTTATTTCGCTTAGCAAATATTAAACTTTAAGAAATTTGATGACTTTTTTATACTTAAACTACCTGATTACATTATGTTTTGAAAACTTATTTGTTCTTCCGAATTTTCAATTTCAGTAAATTTTATCTCAAGTTTTTAGTTCGATCCTCCTAAATCTTTTCCCCGTCACTTTTTCTTATGCCGTTATACTGATTAATAAAAGAAATATTTAATCTTTTTTCTTAATTAACCAATATATATTGCATTTTACGTCGCATAGCAAATATTGAGATCTAAGAAATTTCGTGAATTTTTTTTTTATACTTAAATTATATGTTTACATTAGTTTTAAAAACATCGTTGTTTTTCAAAAAAAAATTACATTTCTATAGATTTGCATAAATAATCTATTTACGTGATATATTCTGTATTTGCCTTTCTCAATTTGTTTCAGAAATTTGGATTTCAACCTAATTAAAGAGATTGACAAGAAAGCCTTTTTTGGTTCACAGATAGCGAAATTGTAAGTTTTATATCCTTTATTCTTTGTGTTTTTATATGCAGTTTTGACTGTTTTTTTGTTTAAAAAATTAATGCGTTTTTATTTTTTACTAGTTTTCTAATAAAGTTTTCATTTCGCTATTTTTTAAAAATGAATAATATATTTTGCTAGTTTTTACTTTAATTTTTTTCTACCCAGCTTCAATTTGAATAGTGTATAAATAAAAAATTTCTGTCAGTTTTTAATGCATTTTTCTCAGTTCAGTTTTTGTAAAGGAATAAATTGTCATTTTTGACTATTTTTTCAAATGAAGTTTTAGTTTTCAGTCTGATTTATTAAACTGAACTTTTTATCTTTTATTTATACAAAGCTTTAAGTTTTGTCTATCTATAAAAATTCATAGATTTTTTTTCATTGTCTGATATGTTTTTCTAATCTTTCCTTCGGTCTAAATTCTTCATGAATGAATACGAATGCGTTTTCATTCATGCTATTTCTTTTTAATTTAAGAAATTAAAGAGAAAATTTTAAAAAATGCTTAAGAACTTACCAACTAATGATTTATTAAGACTTATTAACTGTTATAAACTGCAAGTAGATAAGAACTCAAATTATAAGAATAAAATAAAGAGAAAGCAAGAAAAAAAGTGGAAAAATTATTTTAAATATAAGAAATTTTAAGACTAAAAATTTCCTGAAAATTTAAACAAATTAGAAATTAAAAAAGTTAACAAAAAATATAACTTTGTTGTCAGTTCGCACGATTATAACCGCAAAACTGGTGCTTTCTAATATAGTATTAATGTAGACAAAGCGAAATATATCTGTACAATAGTGCCCAAGTAATCAGTACAATATCACCAAGAAAGAAAAAAAGGGCCGATTTATGAACATAATTTTAACAAGAATAAAAAATGTTCTAGAAAATGCTCAAAATCAAACACAAAATAGGAACATATAAAGCGTGAAGAGTGTATACATGTCACGTACTTACAAATAACTAGCAAAAATAATTCGGAAATATTTTTTTTAAAGTTTTTTAAAAATTTTGCGATTTTTAAATTTTTGTAACTTTCAAATTTTTAATTTTTCTTCATTTTCAGGCAGTCCCATTTTTAATAACAGCATCAAATCATATCTTCATATCAAAATTACTTTGAAATTAAGTTGTAAAAATTTGTGTAAAATTTTTATTGTAAAACTGTGTGCATATTTAATGAATAACCTTCAAAAACCAAATGTTAAAAATATTTTAACATTATTTACTCCCATATGAACACTTAATAAACTATAAACATGGTAAACATGCTTTAAACATATAAACATGCTTTTTTTTGGAATCAATTAATGTGTTCATATTTATTATGTACTAAACATTTTTTTTATATCATTTATTTGTAGAAGTCTGAAAGGGAATACTCAACTTGAGTTTATTCACGAAGAAGCCTTCATGGGACTGAAGAATATAAGAACATTGTAAGTGCTCTTTCCAATGAAAAACTGCATGCTTTTAATGTAATCAGGATTCAGCATTATATGTTTACAATAAATCAAAAAAAAAAATATCACCCCGAATTATTTTCCTTCAAATGATCTGATACTCACATATTAAAAACAAATCTTATGACCTGAAGACGATGAGAAATATTTTTAAACATAAAAGGTAAGTAATTGGAATAACCATGCATTTTATCTACACACAACCTTGGCCAAACATTTAGCTCTATTTTAGGGCTGTATCTTTTCACGGTCATGGTTGGAATGCCATATAATACTAATCAAACGACGTGGACAGCGCCTGAACTAGAACTTTTCTCACCAAACTCTCACACCACAACTAGCGAGATGATTTTTAGACTTAACGTGCACCTTGCTACAGATATACGCTGGTTGTTTGCCAACCATCAGGATCGAGCTCACGACCCCCAGCTCTCCAACCGGTGGTGTAAACGACACTTTAAATGAATGACCACCGAATCGCCTAAACATGCATTTGATAGACTTCCAAGGAAAACAATCGTCTGACGGCACTAGTCTGCTCTAAGCTGTAATGCCAAGAGAAATAATATACTTTAATTATAGAAATTAATTCGTACAAACTATCTATTACATAATACAAAGTATTTCAATTTTTGTACATCAAAATATAAGGAGTAGCCTCAATCTGTATGGTTTCAGTAGTTTATTCGGGAGTGAAATTTAAATTTTATTCTACTTAATGTTAATTTCACTTTTATTTGTAATACCTTGGTAACTTTATAAGCAAATCGGAAACTTTCCTCTCACAATTATAAAAGTTGTTTATCCTAAGACAATCCAAGTTTTTCTAAGAAATAATTTAAATTATTTAATATTTTTTAATCACAGGCAGAAAATTTTAAAATTTATAATATACAAATTTTTGTTTCATTTTACATTTAAACGAGTCTTTTTCAGAAATGTATTTTTTTGGAGGGAGGCATTGTATAGCCTTAACAGTTTTCACGTATGCAACAATATTCCCAAAGTGCCAAAAAAATCTGCCAACGTGAAGCAAATCCATTTTAATTTTAATATAAAGACAGCTTAGGATTTAAGTGCAAAAAAATTAGACACCATGCACGCTAACAAAAGCCCCTGGGCAATTTTTGTGCAATAACCTAACTCTGTCGACAAAAAAAATTACGCGATGCTAATGGTTACTCCTTTTATGCATTATTTTTTATTATTAATACAAAAGCACTTATTTAATACATAACTATATACTGAGCTATACTGAGTAAAGTTCAAAAAAGCAATTCTTGAAAAACAATGAGGAGCTGTAGAGAATAATTAAATCATAGAACAATGGCAGAGGTTTGTTTTTTATTGAGAAAATCTTGCGGCTCTTTTATAAAGAGAGCCTACATATTTATTATTACTTTTTCTTGCTCCTACGAATAAGTAAATCCAAAAATCAAAAATAAAATGCATTTTAATTTCCTCATCTCTAAAAAGCATAGTTTTAGTTTTTATATAAATAAAATGGCGTAGGGCTGTTGATGAAATCGAAAAGAGATTCTGGATCGAATTCCGAAGATGACTGGTAAATTTTAATAGTAGACCGATTTTTCTCAGTAGTAGACAGATTAATGTCCTATTCTCGTCCGGTTAACCATGGTACGATTCACTCTTATCTTAGATTCGTATGTTCTGCACTTGTTAATCCCTATATGAATGCGAAGAGTACTTATTCTTTTCTTTAAATCTCGTGTTTCAAAATTAAAATAATTGTAATTGGACGCTGATTAATCCGATTCACAACTTGGAAAGGACGTGATCAAATACTAAAATAAAAAACTATGAAAAAAGTGTTCATAAAGTAAATAAATTAAAATTCCTTTGTTCCAGTTTTTAAGAAACATTTACAATTTTCATTGTATATCAATCCTTAGAAACTTTTATTAGGACAATATAACTCAATTATTCCGAAAATTTTAAATAAAGCATTCGAAATCATTGCATTTATGTAAGTTGTTCATAACCATCAGCGGTTCTGAAGCGTAGTTTATTAATATCGTTCACCTCGCTGCTGGAGAGCTAGAGGTAGTGAGTTCTATGCTTTCAACCAATTAAACTATATGCATAGTTGTTGTTGTTAATTTACGTCGCACTAGAGCTGCACAATGGGCTATTGGCAACGGTCTGGGAAACATCCCGGAGGATGATCCGAAGACATGCCATCACAATTCTGATCCTCTGCGGAGGGGATGGCACCCCCGCTTCGGTAGCCCGACGACCTGCGCGCGAAGTCGAGCACTTTACGGTAGCACAGTTTAACGAGGACCAATACCGCACACCCTCGGTCCCTACGCAGACTGATCCAAGTGGTCACCCACCCGCACACTGACCGCAGCCAGTGATGCTTGACTTCGGTGATCTGCTGGGAACCGTGTCTTAACGATCAGTCCACTACGGGACACTATATGCATAGTAATGTGCACGTTAAATCTGCCAGGGCTGAAAGTCTTCTCGTTGGTTGAACGGAGGTTCTGAACGGACAAAAAATGCATGGCATTTTTGACATGACTGTTACGCTTTGACTCGCAATTTTTATTACACATATTTGTATCCTTTTTTCATTATTTAATATAAATTGCGGTCAAAATAAGGGAAAATTATAATATTTAGTGATTTAATAATTTATGCTTATGATTATGAAACATCGGTGTCTTTCTCTGAGTTAAAGATAAAATCTTCTAAACAATATTTTTGTCAAATAGAGCACTTATTTTCAAGTATTTAGATTCTAAGAGAAACAGTTATTCGTCATTGAAATTTCTTTACCTTACAAAGTCTATCATTGATAAATTTTTAAATAGGAATAAAAAAATATTTCGAACTATTATTTTGGAATTCTCATTTTAGTACAAACATAATTTCGATAATGTAATATATTTTTAATAACTATTTAACTGTTTTTTCATGATTAAAAAATGCAAAATCATATCGCAATTAGAGCGTCAGAGAAAAATATACAAAAGAAACACCGGTGTCCCCTCTGTGTCAAAGGGTTAAAAGCTAGAGTCCAGGAAAATTGAGCCTTCTGCTTGGCCATGACTTTGTGTGTACTCATAATCATCTATTCCAATACATGCAGTTATAAAATAGGCTTATGGAATATGGGACCACTTACCTTATAACCCATTAAACTCTAAATTAAAATCGGCACTTCCAAACTAAAATCGGCACTTCCAAACTAAAATCGGCACTTCCAAACTAAAATCGGTACTTCTAAATTAAAATCAGTACTTCTAAATTAAAATCAGTACTTCTAAATTAAAATTTATACTTCTGAATTAAATCAATAATATACAATAGAATATGTTTTTTGTAATAGCATTGTGATTTTCCAATGCACATTAATACTTAAAAAACCACACATTGCAATTTTTTTCAATCTATTGTCATGTTAGTTTTATTTAGACAGTTTAATTTTCTTGTAATTACCTCAAAAACTTGAGTTTTAAATTTGATGTCTATATAAATATTTGTTCGAATCGTTGAAATGAAAAATACACATTGATTTCAATACGTAAGAGATTTTTCGTTGAATACCCTGGTAGTTACTGATCTTGTCTAGCTAATAATACAAGTTCTTTCGTAATCAAATATTATGTAGACAGACTCTTGCATAATCAATCATAAGATATTTTCACTTGGCAGTTATAAACAGATCAATAATCAACACTATTAGAAATAGTTTAATTTAGTATGTGTTGCATTAAGAATCTCTTAATAAAAAGAAGAAAACTGGATTCTTACATATAAATGAGAATCATACGATAAAAACCTTTACGCTCTCTAATATAATCATGCATATTATCTGAATAAGTGATAAAATTGTAACTGATAAGCTGCATCCGAATTACGTAACACTAAAACAAAATATAAATTCACTGTATGTATTTGTTCAGAACACTAAGAAAATTTGTTAATTCATNCACATTAAATTATAAAGATTCAAACACATTAATACTTAAAAAACAACACATTGTAATTTCTTTTTTCTATTGCCATACTATTTTTTTTAGACAGTTTGATTTTTTTTTAATTACCTCAAAACCTTTTGAGTTTTAAATTTGATGCCTATTTAAACATTTGTTCGAATCGCTGAAATAAATAATACACACTGATTTCAATATGTAAAAGATTTTTCGTTGAATAACCTGGTAGTTACTGATCTTGTCTAGCTAATAATACAAGTTCTTTCGTAATCAAATATTATATAGACAGACTCTTGCATAATCAATCATAAGATATTTTCACTTGGCAGTTATAAACATATCATTAATCAACACTCTTAGAAATATACACGCTTTAGTATGTGTTGCATAAAGAATCTCTTAATAAAAAGAAGAAAACTGGATTCTTACATATAAATGAGAATCATACGATAAAAACCTTTACGCTCTCTAATATAATCATGCATATTATCTGACTAGGTGATAAAATTGTAACTGATAAGCTGCATCCGAATTACGTAACACTAAAACAAAATATAAATTCACTGTATGTATTTGTTCAGAACGCTAAGAAAATTTGTTAATTCATTCCGAACACATAAAATTTAATTAGCTGTGGGTATTTGTTCAGAAAATACAAAAATATAGTTTAAATTCTGTGTGTAATTGTCCAAAAAATGCTAAAAGATTGTAACAATTTAAATCATATAGTGAGTCAGAACATGACTCAGACATAAGATATCAGTGAATTTGCATAAAACAGACCTGACAGACTTTAAATGTCGGTTTTTTTTACTGTTTCATAAAAGAAATGCATTTTTAAATTAGATTAAATTCGAAACAAAACATATTAAAAGAAGATGTTTTGTATTTTCCAACTTGAAAAACACTTTTTTTAATCAATTGAACTATTGAGTACTCCATTAATTTATCAAGTTATTTCATTTCAATAATTGCAAAACAATTAATAAGCTAATTTTTTTTCAGTTTAGA